GCATTTATAGTTCACACAGGTCATTAGGTTTCACTGTTTCGCTTTAATTAATGAACATCTACCAGCAGTGAGTCTATCATTAAAGTAATTTTCATTAAAAGTTGATTAAAAGTTTTGGTCGAATCACTGTCCGCAATTACAATGGTCACACAAAAATGTTGGGAGTATTAAAGTCATGTTATATTGATTGTAATTAAGAATATTCTCCTAAGGATACTTAATCATAGAAGTATCAAAGAGTATTTTCTGTGTTAACTGTACATTTTTCATTGTGATGGAGTCAGAAGGTTCATGAGGTCAAGTAACTGCAATAGCCACAAAATCTGCTCCAAACACCCAGGTAGAAAAAGGCCTGATGTCAGCAAATTAAACCTGACTGACCTCAAAGTCAGTCACTAAGGCAATCAACAAGGGAAAAATAAAAGGAACAGACAAAAAGAGCAAACAGGTAGAGATTCAAACGAAATGTAATGAGAAGAGAGCTCTTCCATGGCTGAGTTCTACTACTGGGCGCAACCCTGCAGGATTGTGGGATTTTTTTAACATACACTAAATTATTACATGATACATTTTGTTCTGTTGACAAAATCCTTTTGGACCCTTATATCTTACCATGACTATAGCAGAAAATTATTAATTGGTTATTTGTGTAACTCAAATCATTATAAAAACCCTCTGATGTCAGTGAAGGTATATAGAAAGTATATAGACACTAATATACGTACCTCCTTATGTCTATGTTTCCTCCGATACTTGAATGATTGGGGAGTTAATGTGCTTTCACCGTCACTGTGATGAAAAAAACAGAACTATTACACCATAAATCATACTCTTTAAATCCCACCTGATAAATATGAACTCCATTCCCTCCACACACACTGTATATCCCTGTATACATTATTCTAATACTGAATGTGTTTGCCTGCCTGCATGTATCATTGTGAATCATTAGCAGTCACATCACTGGCGTTGATGATTCTGTTGCTCGTAATATTATATTTAGAAATGATCACTGCCGTAACTTTGAATTAATATTGCAGTTATTATTAGTGCGAATTCGATTTTAATGGCTTATTGCCTTTGTACTCCTAAAGCCATTAAAGCTGTGTTGTCTGACCATTAAAGAGCCGATTGTCTCTGTTTGCTCCTTTAACGTTCACATCATTACACTGAAGCACAGGTTCATCGTGGTGAACAACAGCCTCACGGCTGGCAGTCGAACCATGATTGTTGCTCCATGAACCATGATGGAAATTAGCACAAAGTGACACTTCAGTACGCTGGGCTAACACAGCAAGACACTTACATTTTTATGCATGTGTCTCCAGATGAACACACAGGTTTTGTTTCGGATCTGAAACACCCTTGTTAACTGACGTGCTCATCTGTTATCATTCAGAGATCTCCATTTCCTATTCAAGGCCCCTATGGTTAGAAAATAGAGGCGTAAGAGCCTCACGGCCATAACAATCCTGACTGTCTTGTTGTGTTCAAAAGTCTGACAGCAGCATGCCGTAGTCATCTCATTGTGAGGAAATTGTTTTCATGTGTCACCTCTCTGAAATATACTCCATTGCCATTGCTTCACCTTGCTAACTCTCAGTCTGTTTAATATTGTTAACACCAGTGTCAAGTCTATGTAGCCAGTTTGCATTTAACCTTCTTTGTAAATTAATTCCTCAATAAATGAATGCTGTGGTGTGATGTGTCTTTTCCTAATATGCTGATAAACCTAAAATTTGACAGGGACGCAGTCACACCCTCACCACAGCCCTCTAGGCCTCATCACCTCTAATCAATCAACTTGATTGCTTTATTGTGACAGTTATTATGCACACACACAGAAACACAAAAATTAACTTATTAAAATGTAATGTAAATGTAAATGTAACATTGGTTTGGTGTCCAACTTTTTATTATTGTTAAACAATGTTGTTTTACCAATGACTCCCTAACGCATGTTGGTTGAATTGTATTCAAGGAACGTTGGTATGCTATGCACTCCATTATGGTTTAAAGAGAATCAAAGTCAAACCCAAAAAGGACAAAGGAGAAGTAACACTCAGCGAGTGTCCACAATGATCGGATTAACAAGTAGCAAGATGGGGTATGAAGTCCATCAAAGGCACAGTCTGTGGAAGTGGACATGAGTGTGGGTTTGATGCTTGAATTTAGCAAGAAACATCTTTTTCAGCTGACTTTGCCTTGCTACTAGAATAATCAATCACTTTCAGCTTGTGACTTTATCCGGGGGTGCCACAGCTGTAGGCTGCATGCTGATAGAGCAGAGTTATAACACCAGATGCCCTTTCTGTAGCAACCCAACCTGGGACTGGGATTTAGTCAGTTCAAGGCCCATAACCTTCTGCATTTGATTCTGATTTGGAGAGTCCAGGATTGACATTGATAGACGGAAGACTATCGATATTAATGGAGACTATATGAACACAAAACCGTCAATATGAGTGTATATGTGTATAGTGTCTATATTTTAGGTTGCATAGCAAAATTGAAAAGGTTAGTTTTATCAATGTAACATGCTAAAGCCAGCATCTGTGATGACTGCGGGACGCATCACTTGACAGGGCATAGAGAATCTGCTCATCTCTTAAGCTACAATTTAATCAGAGGCTTATAATAGAATGTGGGGCAGCTCCCATGGAGACTGTGTTTTTTTACAGAGAGTCCATGGGTTATGTGGTGGAATGATTCTTTTTTTCTTTGCTTGTCTCTTCATCGGGGGGTCACCACAGAGATGCTCTGTATTGTGATTTGTTGTTACCCCTTCCAGACACAACTTAACTTGGTGTAGAAGACAATGCGGAATTGAGCACAGAGCCTTTTGTACTGCATATTGATCAACCTATTAAAGGTATTTTGAAAGTCCAGATTTGACAGTGCAATTAGACTGCAGACAATCCACCACAATCTCTAAAATGAAGAAATAACCATGGATGAGTATCATGATTCTACTCTGTGTTTCAACTGCTGTTGAGGAAGGAAATTCCTTCATCATTTTACAAGGGTCCATCACAGCAAATATCAGTGGAATTAACCACAGAACCTTCGGCATGGCAGGCAGAAATCCTACCGCTCTTATAAGCCAAGGTTCAATTGAGTCACTATTTGCTAATGGAAACAACAGTATATTAAAATTATTCTCACATTTATTGACTCACAGGCACATTTATCAGTGTCTATGCATCAGAGAAAGTTTAAAATGTCACTGTACCTGCGATCAACAATCAAGGCCCAAGTTTTCTCAAATAGAGAGGAGGGATAAAATATGAGGTAATACTATGGTAACAGCAAATTTATTCTACCAAATTATTTTCCTAAGAGAGACAACAAAGCCAATTAAATCACTAAAATGCTCTCATAAGTAGTAGTTTTAATGATTGTGTTTTATGAATGGGGGGGGGGGGGATTTAGGCTGTCTCACTGCATGTCTTCTAAAATGTTGTATAATAATTTCAGAAGAATGTATGCTTCTACCACTGGAGGCCAATTTATTGTCTGCTTATCTTCAGATATCCGTGGTATTGAGGATTTCCTGGACTGGACTTCTCAGCAGGGAATGGACCTATCCCTGCAGAAGGTGGAATCCAACATCAACATGATGATCACAAGTCTGTTCAGAACCATGAGAGTGGAAGAGCTGCATCGATATAGAGACACGCTACGCAGAGCAGTGCTGTTCATGAGCCCAGCAACTGCCAAGGCTTTCATCACTGAGGTAACATTTTCTGTTGATAATGTAAATGAAAAACAGGAAAGTCAGTAGTACAAGCCTTCTGTGATGTTTTCCCACTTAGATGTTGGCCTTATTTGTAGATCCAGAATCAGAATCAGAATTTTTTTGATCATAATTCAAAGATTTCGACTTAGTTTATTGGTGCATTTGTAATAAAATAAATGTAAAAATAAAATATAAAAAAATATAAAGCCTAACATAAAACAATATATAAAACATTTTTGAATTGACTAAGTTGGGTAAGGTTGGCAGTATTGTGGTCTGAATTATAACTTGTTTTATGTGTGGGTTGGAGCAGGCAGGTGTGCCCTTGTTAACTTGAGAGTTAACAAGGGCAATCGTGAAGAAATTAGAATGAAAACTTAGTTTGTTATTTTAGCTGCTTCTCTTATCCAGGTCATTGTTGTACCATAGTGTATCTCAGACAGTCTATATAGTATGAGCGTTGTTAGAATCATTTAACAGGGACAGTCTTTTAGTGAACTGTTCTTCTGTGGATGTGTGTAAAGCCCTGTAAAGGAGTGTGGTAACTTGCTGACAGTTGGTTCCAGGAGCTACCTTCTAAAATTTACATGGTCCCTACAGGATGTAGGAATGTGGGTGCATTCATTCATTACTCTTCTAATCCATTTGTCCTTCTTTTGTTACATTTGTATGTTCTCCTCAAAACACACAGGTGTCCCTAATGGCACTGAGGACTGAAGTTTTTTAGGACTTCTGTACTTTTTCATGGTAAAGCTGACATCACTGTCCACTTTCATCCTAATGCAGTCTAGACTTTCTAGGCCATAGTTTCTCAAACTTAATGACCTATGTTAAGCAATAACCAATGAGCAGTCTAGACAGAGTGATGCTACATTACTGCATTATTTAGTAAGAAAAACAACAACAACAACAAAAACTTGCAATTGAGCACTTAACATTAACAAATATGTGTATTTTTCTGGCCTTCCAGGTGTGTGATCATGAACTTTCATTTGACTTCTCACTCTGTTCCGTTCACACGGAGACCTGAGCACTGGCGTTTTTAAACCTCTCCACTTTGTAACCCATTTATGGTGAGGACGCTCCACAAGGTCAAATTGGTGCTATAGCTCCAAAGCCTGTGAATCCCTTCATCCCTTGGTGTTGCTTCAATATAATACTCCTAACTCTGAAGGATGATCAGAGATGATCCAGGAACGGATCACCTTTTCCTCCTCTGCTTGTATCAGACTAGCAATCAGCATCAACACTATTATTGTGTTTGGCTGCATAGTGTATAATCTACAGATTAAATTCCACACAATGTCTATTTTTCTTTTTTTAGTTTCTATTTTCATTTAGACCTTATTGATATATTCAATGTATTCATGGAGTTGGGACATTGTATGGCTTAATGTGTTTACACAAGTTCAGATCAGATTTAGACTAAGGCACATACTCCTGTGTGTACCCTTTACACACAAGTATCTGATACTGTATGTGTGCCAGGACTAAAGCTGTTTTTAAAAAAGGAAGAGTTTTAAGGCAGGTTTCAGCATTTCTTGATATTAAGCATGAGTCTGGAATAGATTGGTGTGAAGCATGTGGTCCATGCTTTCATCAATCAGTTACTTGGAACTGTGAAAGACCTTTAGAAGGTCTAATTACTTTTATCACCAATTAACTGTTACTGCAGATAAACTGATTCCATTTGTATATAAAAAGGTGACACATAGAGAAACACCATTCACCACATGCAAACTTTATATTTATAATTTTACATCAACCAATGCGCTTCTATCTACAATTAGGACTAGTAAGTTTTAACATAGAAGTTCTGTTCACTTAAAAAATGAGATGCAGGTCATGGTTGACAACAATAGGCTGCAGCATTAGTTATGAATTCATAATTTGAAGTGGTAAAACGGGTTTAATCCCACATGTCATGTCCTCATCTTGGTTTAATTAAATGTGACCTCGGAAAGAGGAATCACAATGTAATTTGGCTGAAGGCATCACAGGGAGGGATGATAGATGGGTTCCTATTATGTATCTGGGATTTGGTTAGTTGCAGTAATATTGTGGGGTGTTTTTTTTTGACCACTAGAGTGCAGAAAGAGAGTAGCACCACAATTTGCAAGCAGTAATTTCTTCTTTCTTTTCGACAAGAATTGCTTGTTCATTGATAACCTTGGCTTATTCTATTACTAGACCATTTATTGTTTTACTTTTAACAGCACAGCTCTAACTGGTAATGCTATTATTATTATTATTATTATTATTATTATTATTATTATTATTATTATTATTATTATTATTATTATTATTATTATTATTATTATTATTATTATTATTATTATTATTATTATTATTATTATTATTATTATATTGCCAGGCAATGATGCTAATATTTTTCCTTTAAATATTCTAGTTCTGTATTTGTTCATTTGCAATCAGTAAAACACCAGAAATCCTGACAATTGCATTTATTTCTTTTTTCTAACTCTCCTAGTAAACCCCTGTGTGTATTTGCCTGTTCATGTACACTGACAAAAAAAATCTAAACTCTTCCAAATTGAAAACTATTAGCAAGTATGATATATATATAGGGATTTTAGGGACTGGCTATTTAATGGATTATAAAATATGGTTGAAGAAAATAAAAAAGAATCACTGTAATGAAACGTTAAATTATTTTTCGACAACTGGCACGGTCAGATATTACAGAGGGTTGCTTTTGTACAGTGGTACCTACTGTACACTAGGGCTGTAATTTGCACACTGTTTTTGTCTTCCTCTCCAATTACACAGCTGTTACTCGACTGCTGTGGTAAGCGCCATTCTACATAACCAGATTTATGTAAATTTTCAAATTACCCAGTCAGTGGCTGGATTCCACCAAATATTTTTTTAGCTGCTGTAACTCTGCTGACCGGGTCCTAATTAATAATTCGTCAAAATGTATGTTATTTGGTCTTTATTGGACACACTACAGGGTCCTACTTATACAACCTAACAACCAATATGGCAGTGTTTCACAACCTTTTTTTTGCTTGTGACCCCATTTATACATATACAATTAGTGACATTTGTTTTCTAGCGCCACCTAGGTATTTTTTATAATGCATTTTATTTGAACTACATTTTTATCGTTAATAAATAATACAGTTGTTTAAACTTGTGTTGTTTTAATCAAAATTTTAAAATGATTAATGAATGAATGAACAAACGATTATTCTTGCCTTGCATTTTGTCAAACATTCTTACAAACATTGGGAAAAAGTGAATTGTTATTCAGTGGCGCTTTGGCCCAGAGGCAATGTCTCTGTCATTGGTGTGGAACTCCAGGGTTCACCTCCTTGGCAAGTTTGAATCCCGGTTAGGGCGGTTGGTACCTTCCAGTGGACTCACCACCCACAGGAAGGTTTAGGTACAGTGCAATGTGATTTGGGTGGTGACTGCTGCCCCCGCAATCCGGTAACGGATAAGCGGCTGAAAATGGATTGATGGATGGAATTGTTATTCAGTTGTATGTGAACAAGCAGGACACCTGGTCACACCATCTGCAACTTCAACTGTAACAAAATGTATGCTTTTTGATGCTAAAAAATTAAATAAAAAAACCCACAAATATATTGTATCAACAGTATAATGTGTTCAGAATGAACATAGTCATGTCCACAGTCAAAAATATTTTGGCAGAATTAGTATTCTGTCTAAAATGTCCTTTCACACACTGCATAATCTATGCACAGAACTGGGAAACATTAATTTTGCTGTTCGATTTTACAGTGTTTAAAAATTTAAAACGCTGTCATTTTGAGACCATTTTCCTTTTAACTGACATTTCTAACGTGACAGAACATTAAACTGGCTCCAGATGAATACAGAGATGACAAGTGTCGTAAATGAAACATGAAGGAAAATATTCTGTGTGAGACAGGTTAAATAATCTACCCCTGGCATGTGGCTGCAGGAAAAGTTTTGCCACAGAGTAATTTGTTTCCTATTCATGATACGTGAAAGTAAGTAACATTGGATTGGATAGAAGAGGTTCATTTCTGAAATTTAATTCTGGAATATTGGAGATATGCATGTGAAAATGAAAGTTCTTTAAATCATCTGCAAGGAATTGACACCATCATCAAAGCCAAGATTAAGTTTTAAAGACATTCATTTGACTTCATTTGACTCGGTGGATATCAAACTCCAAATTGAACAACCATCAGATTCCTCCAGTGATCGAAAACGGTACTAACAGTTAACTTCCACTGTGTATAACCTGATTAGCAGTTATCTGATTGTAATGCTTTGATAATTCCAGAGGACAGAGGAGATTTGCCAAATTGGTAGCCATAGGGCATTTTAAATAACCCCTCATTACAATCAAATGTTTGGGACAATTTCTTCAAATAGAGGGTTTGGAATCAGTGCAAATTTTTAAAAAGGCTGTAGTGTCAAGGTAAAAACATGGTATAAACTCCACCAGAGCACAGGGTCGGATATGAATGTGAGTTGGGAGGCAAAGTCCTTTAAGAGCCACGTGCTTGTCCAGGCTGCACTCACCAGATGATGAAGGTAATATAATCTCACTACTAGTATTTTATTACACAGCAAACGCTGGACAAAAACCAACACTACTGTATGTTATAAAGCTTTATTCAGGGATGATGATACTTGAACATATCTAGATTTAATCACATCAATAATGGTGTTAGAAAAAAATTAATGGGACAAGCAGTTGTTGGCAAAAAGGTCATGTGACCTTAGTTGTGTGGAAACAATTTTGTTAACACATTAGCAATGCTAATACACTATTGCTTTAATATTAATAATATTTAACATATTATTGCAATATTCCCATCCTTAAAACACATATGCAACTGTATAGGTAAGCATATTACAACAACGTGTGCATCTGCGTGCGAGCACACTCATTTTATTAGTTAGAAAACATTAATAATTGGAGCATTAATAAAAAAAGGGGGCTTGTCGCTCCTTTTATCGCGCATCCAGGA